AAGATAACACTCAATGAACCCAACATAAAAAATGACCAGGTTGAAGCGTAAAATCGTTTTTTTTAATAACCGCTAGTCTCTTATAAATACCACTATTTATCTCTTTACACGATTTTGACTCGTGGTAAGCCTTTGACGGGTTATTTCATTATTTGACATCCGAACAGTCAAAATAGCGCACAACTATAGTCACTTCTGAATAAATTATGTTGGTGTACAACTATCAACTCTACAAAGCAAAAAATAGACTTAGCGTAATATTTCGTTCTAAACTTCACCATCGTTCTTTAAATAATAGCATTCATAAAATCTACACCCAAGTTTAACGCTCTCACTAGGATGCCGCTATTACAAATCGATAGTCACTATGTAAAAGTTCCTATGTTAAGAATATAACTAATTCGGAAACAGGTTACGAGCATCTCCAGCGGAAAGAAAAGCAAAGATCTTGTCGACAGTTGTATCGAGTATCAAGAAGTACTGACTGGTATCAAAGGATTAAAAAAATCAACACTCAGAAGTAAATATCCCTTAAATTGTGTCGTTTGATAGCATGACCAAACAAAATGATAGCAATATCTATATGACGATATTTATAATGAAGAATGAAGAAATAAGAGTAAGCGACACACTTTTTCGAATGCATTAGGACTGCGACAGTGACCCAGTTGACCGAATTCATTTGAGCCTGAACTGTACACAAGACCATCTGAATCCAGAGCAAGGGTATGCTGGTAGCCACAGGCCAATTTGACCAAATGTTTGCTAACACCCATAGGAGGCCAGTTCACAGGAGTGGGCTGGCAGACTTGTGCACATGGCTCATCAGCGGAAAGTGGACCCAGCTGTCCATAATCGCTCGATCCCCAACCAAATAAGGTAGTGGACATCAGAAGGGGATAACTAAATCGTTAGAAAGCACGCCGTCAGTTTATAGGTTCAGCCGAAAAAATTTACCAAGGGTTTGGTCCCTATTAGAGCATTGGAGATAAGTAATCAAATGGCAGTTAGTTCTAGAACATCAATGATTTAAGTAGAAAGGATTTCAGTTTCCAAAAGAACCACACTGATGAGAAACTTGAGCTCCAAATGCAAGATTAGCGTGGGTATATTTGAGCGTATTGAATCTATCATAGCATCCGTAAGCCGAAGCATGTCGCCAACGGGAAGAACATACCAAATATGCTTAAAAATGGGATCTACGATGGCGACTAAGTATGGATATTAACACAGGTATATACATAACACAATCAGTTAAAGGTGGCAGCAGCACTGATGTTAATAAATTAAGGAACAGTGAAACAAAAGCATTACTCTAGGGTAGAGTTTCTCAAAGTCATAGCAAACCTAACAAACCGAACTAATTGTAATGCTCATAGAGTGCCAACGTTAGCCTCCATTCAATAGCTTTGAGTAAAATCTACAGACGAAAATGTATGCATAAACTGCGAGCTTTTGCAGGACTCAAAAGTGACCTACGGAAATAGGCAGGATTATGACACGGGAACACCGAAAATAAATGAACCAATCATAGGGCTAATTTGAAGCAAAAACTATGCAGGCGTATTAATACTAGTCATAAGCGGAGTAAGTTTGTGTATTTGTAATAAAATGCGAATCCTATGCCATAGGTAATCTTTGCCACAAATTTCAGGTTCTCACGAGCATTTTAACCTACAACGTACGTATGAACTCACAAGTTGAGTTTCATACTAGCAAACACAAAATAAACGGAAAGTAACAAAACTTAGTGGCGTAAAGTAGTGCTGCAATGCCTTATCAGTTGAGAACCCAAAATCTGGTGGTCACTAAGATATCTACCTTGCTCATGTGCCCTTGAGCCGGCTTAGGTCTAAGCCATAGTTAAATCTCCACTGTTTTCCTTTTGATTTTTTTTATTAACCCCGTTTAATGCCCTCTTCTGTCTATTGAATAGAACTTGGATTCTACAAGATCAGCCTCTGCATAACTAACGTTAGCTATTCTGAGGGATTTCGCTTTTTGGGCGAAAATGTCTGACGTTGGCTTTGTACGGGTAGGCTGAACTTTGGGACATTCAGGAACCCTATTCCTTCCCCTTTTCTTAGATGGCACGTATTCCGTGTAGTATCTCAAGACTTATTACAGGGTAAAAGTTGGCAGTAAGTACGGCTAAATGCATATATTCCATGCCGAGCTTAGCTCCAATGCCATCTTATGCGCACAATAGCAAGACCAATTTTAAAGTAACCGCCAAACATCATGTCTTCATACGAACAAGATATTTAAACGCCGTCTCTTCTTTTGAGCTACGTCCTCGACACGCCCTCTGGTAAACCTATCGCGATGACCATCACAGTACATTCGGTACTGCAGGCAAGCACTTGCGAGACAGCCGCGTTAATCAATAGCTACCGTGAGACTGAGGAAAAATACATGGTTTCTTTAGCAGCTTCAACTGAACATGTAGTTATCTTCGGTTTAACATCCAGAATCAAGGCCGCATACATCTAATGCTCATCAATTGCTTCTTGTAATGGACAGAAGTATTCTGATCTAATGCAAATGTGTTACAGGGAAAATGGGATCAGATACCATTCCGTATAAAAGGCGAACCGTAGTGCCACTTCTGACGCCTACGCACAGTAGTGGAGGAAATTCCGACTCGAAATTTCTCCCGATGGTTTATGGCGATGTCGCTTCTATTGCCAATAGTTTGTTTGTGGAACACGGAGACAAGGTGAAGTCGAACGCAGACATCACTGGGATGCCTTGTTTATGGGACCGCCTGACATTAGGCGGTCACTACGATTTGTCTTGCCCTCGTACTCGTGGGCTGGCCTTCGGACCATGCTCAGGCCCAGTTGCTTTGCCCTCTTTGGAATACAAGTATTCAGCTTCACTTACTGCCTTCTTCCATCCGATGGAAGTCTTCTGACTTAGATGTTAAGACAAAAGATTTGCCTGCTCCTAATGCAAATGCGTCTTATCCACCCCGTAGGTATAGGTCACAAACTGTTGATGCTAGGATAGCATCCGTTAAAAAGGTAGGGCTCGCTTTTCGCTGCCACCGATGTAAAATAAGGCCTCGAATGGAGCTGATTACACGTATTTCAGAGAAAACAAGATGATTATGCCTGAGCATGGTCTGAAGGCAAGCCCGCGTGTACAAGGGTCAAACGAATCTTAAAGTAACCTTTAGGTGTCAGGTGTCACGTAAATAAGCATTATATTCTGTCTAAAGTGATGCCTTCTTCTTCCTTGGGGCAGCCATGGGGCGCTCCACCTACAATCTTCCCTTTCGGTGAGTAACAAGCGTTTGTGTGCTTGTAAAGAAGTCTTAGAAAGGTATGGGCAGAAAACGATTAAGGGAACTACGAAATCACGCTAACTTGGTTCTTTTAAAACAATGAAGAACTGTGTTCAAAGACATGCTGAGGGTGCAATTCAACCTTATTTACAAGGCTGTGGAGATTTGTTCTTCAACTTATTATCGCAGCTCATGTCTCTTTAATTCAAAATCAAAATGTGGCAATTTGAGAAATGCATTTAAAAGAGGTCGATAAGTTGTAAACTTTTCCATTAAATAATGTTAGTTATCAACTATTATTTGCATTTGTTTAAATTGGCGCTTAGCACTTTTGTGGGCTTCTGGCTCGTGACGTGATGATTTTTCAGCGGAAGGTGCAATCTGTTCTGATTTTCATTATACGCTTTGATTTTAGGCCATTATAATTGATGCTCGGCGTCATCTTCTCGGAAGATTGGCGTCGATTGTCGCCAAAACTCTCCTTCAAGGCCAGAAGGTTGTTGTTGTCCGCTGTGAGCAAATCAGCATCTCTGGCTCACTCTACCGCAACAAGCGTACGCTAATCTGTTTCATTAATAGCTATTTTCAGTAAAGTATCACGAGTTTTTGCGTAAACGAATGAATACAAATCCTTCACATGGACCTTATCACTATCGGGCTCCTGCCAAAATATTTTGGCGTACTGTCCGAGGAATGCTGCCCCACAAATTGTACCGTGGGAAGGAAGCTCTTTCCAGGCTTAAATGTTTCGAGGGCATTCCCCCACCTTATGACAAGAAGAAACGTGTTGTTGTTCCGTCTGCTCTTCGCATTCTTCGCTTGAAACAGCGTAGGAAGGTAAGTGGTTTGATGTCTGCGAATTCTTCTAGTTTTGTACGCTCTCTAGGCTTTCTTCTGAGGTTGGATGGAAATATGAGAATGTAATTAGAAAGTTGGAAGCCCGCCGAAAGGTTCGGGCTGCTATTTGGTACAAGAAGAAGAGGTTTGATGCTATACCCGACCAGGTAGCCCGCGGTAGAGCTCGTAAGGCCATACAGCCGTACAATACCATCCTAAAGAAATACGGCTATTGAATTTGGTGAAATAAAGGTTATGGTGTACATTTTACGATTGTTAGATGGCTTACCCTTTTGAGCTAAGCATATTTAAATCCGGTTTTACGTTGTGTACGGCTTGTCTTTTGGACACTGTTCTTGGTTCACTGTCGAATCTTCCTATTTTCTCTGTAGCTCGGACTTGAGGTCCGGTGTCTACTCGGGTTGTGCGGTTCGGTTGGCATTGCCCGTTTTTTGCGATTTATAAATCGTTCTTATCTGTAACTTCCCAGGTTTTTTCTTACTGTACGTATCGGCGTGAAGGTAGTGTTTGCTGACACTCAAGCTCTTCGCTTGGTGAGTTCCCATATGGCTAGTAACAAAGTCTGCGGCCCCGTCCGCTGTCGATCGCCAAGGTTATGGCCTACAAATTCTCCATTC